TTTCTCCTATTAATCTGGCTTCTTCTGACAAGAGGCTAAAATGGGATGTGGGAGATCTTCCTGAGGGACAATGATTAAGTGCCACCAAATCCACACTAAAAACGGTTAACATGAAGAACCTGAAGAAATTAGTATCTGGAGAGATTTTGTATGGATAAATGGTCTCAGAGCCCTTCTCCTCACCTCATCCAGCATTGTGAAAGAAAACTCACAAATATTATTATGTATAATACTGTATGAATAGGTGACAGTTGCTGCCAGGCAAGCCAATAGTTTAGGATACTACAGAAGAGTCAGAAGCTAGCAACATTGTTATCTGCATTGTTACCAACACATATATGAGACCAGTGATTCATGCAGAATGTAAATTGAGCATTGTTGTATTTATCTTTCAATATGTTTGTTCCTTAATATTTATATTTAACTTTATATCCTGACAAATATTTTGCTAGAAAACTGAAGTCTGGCTTCCACTTTGAAGAAACCGGTTTCAGGTTATGCACCAGCACTCATTCCCTCGAGCTTTTGTATATTCTTTGGTCTAGCTTTACACGCACAAGCACACAAGCACACATAGCTTTTAAGTAGACAGGTTTTCCCCAGACAAGCTGTTACAAAGGCAAAAGAGAAAGAGAAAACAAATCAGACTTGGACACTTCTTGGTCTAAAGTCGCACTTTAATCCTAACACATATTGGTTGGTTTGCCCACACCCTCCCCTCTCCATTCCCACCCCAAACAACAGGCACACAGAGAGCAATGAGTAAGGGACAGTTCAACAGTTTCTGAACAAAATCCAAAACGGGTTACAAACTCCATGGAGAGCTTCTGAGGTAAGAGCAGGAGAACACACAGACAAAGAGAGGGAAAAAGGATCCTAGCATATACAGAAATACAGAGTCAAAAAGTGACCATCATAAGAGTCGTTATCATCTACCAACATCAGCATATTTCATGAGGACATTTTCTGAGATATGAGAAAAAATGAAAGCTTCTGCATGTTTCATAAAAACATGTCAAGAGAAAAAGTTACGGTGGAACTCTTTGGTTTTCACTGTTGAGGTTCTTCTTTTTTAATCATAAGTAAAATCTTCCTTTGCTGCCCTCATCAAATTACCTTTGGATTAAAGCTGTATTGTTAAAACAAACAAAAAGGTAAAGAAAAAGAAAGGCAAATAATTAAAATGTTATCTACTTTTTCAAAAGGAAAAAGGGGGGAAAGGGTGTGTTGTTCTCTTTGTTGTAAATTTTCCATTCTGATATGTGGCATGTCACATAAATTTGGCTTTCAACCACTGTAAGGTTAGGTCACAAGTCTAGTCTAGGTTGTTAACAGTATAACTATTGAATTAAATATTTCCATAGGCCTAAATATCCCAAAGATATTCAACTAATACATGTAACTGTAACACTGGAACTTGGCCAAATAAAAAATTTGGCACTATAGTGCTTTTCTGAGGGATTTAAGAATCCAAAAATACAGAATGTGGTCTTATGACATCTCCAGCTGCACTTAAGCATGTCAGTGTCAGTTATATTTGACCTACATTATGAAAAAAGCTAATATGACAAACAAGGCAAATGAAGTCATTTTAGTTGCAGTGGCTGCTCCTGATCTGTTAGAGCTACTAACGTCTGTGTAAAAGGTCTGTATGTTTTATGAACGCTTGTGTGTCTATAACCTGTGGCAGTAGCCCTCAGGCGTTAACTTTGGTATCGCTCTAGGTTATCCTTTGAGGACACACATATACATGCACAAAGGAACAAATACACAACAAGTAAATGAAAAGAAACGGAACAGCCACCATTAACATATTAAGTTATTTTTCGTAAAATGTGTAGATTTCTATTGAGTTTCTTAATGTAGAGTTTGTGGGTCAGAAAGAATAGGAAGCTGCGTAATTGGGGAGAAGTTTGTGAACCCTTTTACTCACGCAAATGAAGCTAATCAAACCCTCTCCTGAGCAACATCTCCTCTGTTCACCTTTTTCAAAAAAGTTAAAGCTTTTGTATTCATCTATTTGGCATTTCTAATCAAACATGAGGTATTTGCAGTAAATCTCTCTTTCTCTCGTAGCTAACTCATCCAGAAAAAGAAAAAAGAGGACAGAGGAAAAAGGAATGAGTTAGATCCAGGGTATGGACGTTGGACCATGCTTATCAGTAACCAATCACTACAGGTAACAGGCTAACTATAGGCTGAGCAAGTGAGGCTTCCATGAGCCACTTCTCTCCGTTGGATAATTGTTCTTAACTTCTATTTTTTCTTCTATGACCCTTTGGTTCAGTTGGTTTAAAAGCAGTGGACAAATCAGGCGTCAGGCATCATCTTGCACCCCCCCAACAAAGAAACAGTCAATCTCTGTAGCTAATTTTGGTTTTAAAGAGATTGGAGATTAGGAAGAGATCATATTTTGCATTAATCTCAATTTGTTTCCCCCACATCTTTCCAGTTTGTTTACAAACATTAAAAAAGACCAAATCGATAAAGAAAAAAACTGCATAAATACATAAATAAGCCAATAAATAAAGATGAGAGTTGCTAACATACAAATTATCAAACAAACCATCGCAAAAACACCCCCCCCCCACACCCCCATTAACAATAAATACAAATCTCTGAATGAAAAGGAAAATCCAAAGAGAGACAGTTTAAAGCTTTTGGTCTAAAGTCATCATTATCGTCATTAACATTTCATAAGGACTTTTTTTTAATCACAGCCTTTTTTACATTAGCAATAAGTAAGCAGTAGAACATAGATCTTTTTTCCCTACAAAATCTATCGAAGCACTAACAGGTACATTCCCTCTAGAAGTGTATGACAACTGGTTTTACAGTTGATTTGAAACCCATTCCCTCCCCCCCTCCCGCTAGTTTTCTCATTGGTTTCTATGCGTCCGTGTTCTTATACATCTTTGAGCAAGATCACGTCATTAAACATTGTTTTTGGTGACACACTGGACAGAAGGTGTGTAGGCTAACTGGTTATTTTCAGTTTGGTTTACATGCTGGAGAATAGCTTCCTTGAACAAACACACACACACACACTCACAAACTCGCCCACACACACACACACACACACACACACACACACCCACTCTATCAGAGTTTCTCCCAGAGTCAGCTCACTTACATTCTCACTCTGTCTCTCCTCTCTCTATCTCTCTCTCTATAGAGCACCAATACAGTTAATAGTCTCCCTTCACCCATTGTGCATTGGTTTGGTTGCTATTTGGTTTGTTTATGTGTCAAAAAAAAAGTTTTGGTTTATCGGTTTTGGCTTATTTTTTCACAACATTCTTGATCAAAGAAAAACTTGGAAGCTACATTTTCACAGTATTATTTCAAACCACCTGATGAGAAACTCCCCCACAACAAGATCAAAACAATAAAACGGACAAAATATGAAAACAGGCAATACATTACCCCATCCCAAAAATAGAAACAATGAGACAAGGTCATACAGCATCAACGGACAGACCAAAAAAAAAAGCAATAAAACAAAAAAAACCCCAAAAAAACAAAAACAACAACAAATATATATATATATATATATATATATATATGTATATATATATATATATATATATATATATATATATATATATATTTCGAAGTTCAGTTCAGTGAGGTCAATAAATATTCCTCCGCCCAGGAAAAGAGAGTAAACGAATCGAGGCCATACATAATGGACAGGAGGAAAGAAGGAGCGGGCACGAAGCTCATCGGTCAGTCAACACTTTGAACTGTTGGACTGCCAATCATAGCTTGGTCACAACAGACAGACGCTGCCCCACCTCCATTCTCTAAAAAAAGCATCCTCCTTGTCCACCTCCTATTCGTCCACTCCTCGTATTTGGTTTTTGGGTTCCTGTGTTTTGTCATTCAGTCCTTCATTGGTTTTGCTTACGTTCATTTTTGGTTTGATCCTTGTGTTGGAAAAGGACAACAAAAAAGAAACGGAAAAGGAAATCAACAACAGCAACATTCTGCTTCCCGGTTTGGAGGCTCCCCATCCAGCTTGCGCTCGTTGAGCTTCCCCTGCACATCCCATGCGTCCTCTTCAGCCGCTGCTCCACGTGCTATCATTTTGTTTCCTCTTCTCCTCCTCCGTTTCGGCCTGATATTTTCCAAGGCGCAGGAGAGGGGTAGAGAGAGGATGGAGGGCAGGGGTTTGGGGGCTCAGCATGGGGGAACAGCATCGCTTTTTTAAAATGATAATTTCCTTTTCATTTCTTCATCTACTTGTGTGTCTGTGTTTTTTTTTTTCTTTTTTTGACATGTCTGAGGTCTTGTCTGAACACTTGTTAGCCAATGCTAAAAGGTCAGACAAATGCTTTGGTATCCAAGAGAATGAGGCTGAGTTATGGGTGTGTACAGGATGACAGTATGAATAATAAAAAGGCAGGTGATGATACGAAGATGATAAAGATTTGGGGAGAATATTTCCCGTGTTTCTGTAAAAGCGCATTATCTCTTAATACTCTTTTGTTTAAGCTACCATATTAAGCAGTAATGTCATTTGTACTTCACAGAGACATTTCAGAATCTCTCCAAATGCAACCTTTTTCATGCCATGGACGGATATGATGATGACAAACAGAAAGACAAAGCTGTGACTGGTTGGAAGTATCCGGAATAATTGTGATCTTAAATGGAGTAAATCTAACAGACTGACAGCAGAGGTAGACTGAAAAAGATCTGAATGTAGAGATTTTTTAAGAAAGAGTCTTAAGAAAGCAAAAATGATGCTCAGAAAAGTACAAAATTAGAAAGTGAATCTAAAGAAGGATACAAAATAAGCGACGTACTACAGAAAATGAAATGAAAAGAAACTTGAACAATGAGGAATATTTTTGGTGCTGTTTTGTGGAGTTGATGATCTGATCCTGGACGGGTCAGGTTTAAAAAGTCTTTCAGGTAAAGCTTTTCTCTCCGATTTTTTGGTTTCGGTTTTTGGTATTTTGTTTTTTTTGGCAATTTTGGCATGTTTGTCATTGTTTGTCTTTTTGTGTCTTTTCTTTCCACTTTCATCGTTCTTACTTTTTTTTTTTGGTTTAAACTCTTCCCTTCCATCCATTGACACATGTCAAATGTCCTTTCTTTCCTTTTTTTTCTTTGCCACCCATTTTTCTAAACACAGTCATCTTTTTGGATCTCATCCCTGCCCTCAGTTTCATCCATTCAAAGAAGTCTCTTTTTTGATTAGAAGGGAGTTCATGTACATGTTCATTAATGGCCAAAAAGGAAACTCTGTGATGCCACCTCTCCAAATGAATAGAGATCAATTTTTTTTTGGTTTAAACATCCTCCATTCTCCTGTTCTCTCCGCCTCCCCCGTTCTCTCACACTCATCCCTCCCTCTTTCAGTCTGTGTATTTTTGGCATTAAAAGACTCAGTGAGAGAGGGAGTGAAGGAGAGTAATGGAGGGAGTGAGAGATGGCTTTGGTTGAAAAGGCGAGGTTTTTTTCACGGTCCGACTGCTCCACTGTCTCCTCTCCCACAAGCGAGACGACAGATCACCGTGGGTGTCACTCGGCCATTGCCCCGCCCAGAGGCGGGGGAGAGGCTTCGCTAAAAGAACAGAATGAGGTGGGACTTGAGCATGGAGAAGCAGAGCATGAGTCAGGGCTCATGCGGCTGGCACTAGGAGGAGGAGATGCCCTGGCAGCACTGACCAATCCCAAGCTGGCGCCTGCTGCCATGGGCAACAGGGTGGGGCGGTTAAGGAAGAGGGAGGGACGCAGTCCGGCCCCCGGACCTCCAGCTCCACCGAGGAACATCTGACCACTGCCCTCAAGAGCTGTAATGGACATCTGGCCACCACTGGCAGCCAGAGCTGTTAGATGTAGAAAGGACAAGAAAGGAACGACAAATAAGCAAAAAATAAATAAATAGACCAATTAAACTTAGTGGGTGATTATGTGAACATAAGAAAATGGAAATGAGAGCATTCGACAGCATTGTAATTAAATACAACAATGGGCTCAGATGACAGTGAAAAGCTCTTTCACTCACACGCAAATACATGCACTCAGTGGGAACATGTTAGTGACAAGGATGTGAGGGGATGTGAAACAAAGTGAAATCCTGCTGTTCTCCAGCTTGTAATAAACTCTTAAAAATAAAGCTGCCAACAGGGCCTCTTTCAAGCAATGCCATTAAAGAACCCCCTACCTAAAGAACCTTTGGAATGATCTCTGAAAAACTCAAGTTCCTTTAGGTACCAAAAGTAGTTCTTCTGTTGCATCACTCCAAAGAGTGCTTTTTGGCACCTTTACTTTTAAAAGTGTATATCATGACGATGTTACTGTTTCCCAACAGTACACTGTTGTGAATCAATCAAAAGATCATTACCTGGTAACTAATGTAACTGTTGTGTTCAAATAATGTAATATAAACAACCTTCAATGAATTTATGTATCGCTGCTGTTGGAACAAAACATTGTATCTCCAAAACAGTAACCCTACAGGTGAAGGACAAAACACACTATATATATATATATATATATATATATATATATATATATATATATATATATATATATGCAGCTATTTTCGTGTGGCAGCCCAGCATTGTCTAAACTTTCTGCTCTTCCAGAGCAGATATACATTCATTTATTCAGATAAATATTCAAACATCAGCTTGAAATACTGGTCAAATCTAAACATCTCTTCAATGCTGATACTGATATAATTCCAGTATCATTGTGCATCACTAATATATTGAAATATATTGATAATTGTTTCTAAAAGCTGAAGAGGTTCTCTTGCTTCACTGCCTTTAACCAACACATTTCACTTGTTCTCTTTTAACAAGTTGTTCTTCTTGTTCTCTTTTGCTTCTTAACTAAATATGCATGTTCTAGACTTTTCTTTCTCCCTGTCTTGCCTCCTGCTCCTTCAATCACAAACCTTGCATGGTAGCCAAGGGGTTGCTGCTGATGAGAGCCTGGTTCATGCCTGTGCTTACACCCATCATTGTGTTCCTGCAATGTGTATGGTTCCATTTATACACAACCACACACACCCACACCAGCAAACATACATGTGCACACACATTCACACATGTGGGGAGAAGCGAGGATTTTAAAGGCATCTCAAAAGTCAAGCCTGTGTGTAAAAGCACATTTGTCTGCAAGAAAAAGATAGAAATCAAAAGAGCAAGAAAGCCGGTATGTGCATGTCTGCTGGCACATTCCAGAAAGATGAATTCTTTTCATCGGTCAGTCATCAATTCCGTCTTACTCAGCACTTCACAGGGTCTAAGCCGAATTTAGAGAGCCACATTCCTCGATTGCCGGAACACACTGCTAATAGACTGACAGATGTTTCTTCTGTACTTAACTGTTAGGACAGAGTGAACTTTGATAATGACTAGTGTATGCCTATGTGGCTGTGTTGCCTTGGAAGCAAAGTTTTATAAAATGCTTCCAGTAATAACAAAGGCAAACAAAAAAAATCATAAATTAACTGCTCCATGAGAAACAGAGGTGGCATGGATGAACTCGGTGGAATTTAGCAGATGCCGACCCCTGACTGCTCAAGAAACAACCTTCATGATTCATGTTGTCGCATTTTTCTCACTAGTACAGTGACAATTCTGACTGTGTCCCATCATCTTGTGAACACTTTACAGCTGACTTGCATGCTCTTTTTGATGAATATATTTTCTTACACTTTTTAATTAACACCAAGCATTTGTCTACACTACTCAGCCTTGCTTGTTGACTGAAGGACCTGTTTCAATTTGAATGGTAATTTGATTGTAAGTTTAACCCCATCCAATGAAGCTGAGACCATGCCATTAATCTTCTGTGTGAAAAAATGAACCAGACAGTGTGCAGGAAAGTGAGAGACAGTAAAGTGCTTACCCTGTGTTGAGACCAGGGCTGCTCAAATTGGGTGGGGCAGGGCTTGCTGTGCTGAGAGGAGGCGGAGTCACTGAAGGTTGAGCAGAGCTCATCGCTGCATGGCCTGTTGGGTTAGGAGGGCAAGCCACAGAGGAGGTGGGACTGACTGCTACAGAGAGATGAAACAGAGAAGCAACTGTGATCACTTCCTGAGTGCAGACACAGAATATCTTCTTAGAGTAAACTGCCAGTGGGGACTGATCTTCTGCTTAGGAAAATTGGAGTCAATATATAAATACATACATGCAGAAACCAGAACAGGTCACAAAGATGCTAAGCAGGCCCAGCTGACCTTGATTTTGGATCAAGATGGCAAGAGGAAAAGAGACTTTGAAAAAGGGCTCATTATCGAGTCACGGAGGACAAGAGCTTAATCACAAAGACAATTCACACATATAAAAATAAAATAGGCCTTCTATCAGATAAAAAGCAGCAGGTTAGGCTCTTACCTGTAGCACTAAGGCTGGTGGCAGCCTGAGCTAGTCCCTGACTGGACATCTGGCGAGGGAGAAAGAGAGAGATGTGCAGCGTTAGTCTTCATTATTCACAGCTAAGAAATGTTATGTAATATATCAGTGGTTCTTAATCTTTATTTGAGTCTCAAACTTTTTTTTTAACCGAAGAGTAACCAAAAAAAGTTATTTTCAGGGTGTGATGCCACAATGATCTAATGAAAATACATCTTATTTCAAAACTGATATGCCATTTATTCTCAACTCAGTCTACCTTAGATAGAAAGTGAGAAGCTAGCTGGCTTTTCAAACAGCTTGTGCTGGCAAAAAAGTTGATGGAAAGCATAGTAAGCTATTATAGCACTATTTGTGATTGCATTTTATTAGGTCTGGCATTCTTTCATGACATGGGAAGTCTTTGCGGATATCATTTTAGTCTCTTATCCACTTTACAGCCTGTCACTGAGGGCAAATCTGTTCCTCTCTCACCTCTGCCTAAAACTTTTAAGTGCTTTACTCCACTTGCCATTAGATGATATGTTTCACTGTAACTAGAAAATTAGAAAAAGCCTGTCCTTACAATTAAACTTTGCAAAATGAACAATTTTTTGTGGAAAACAAGTCTGTTTTATGTATACCTGGTTTTGTATTTGCATAGCAGCATAATGAACCAGGTGCAAATTCACACAAATAGTGGAGAATGCAGCCATAAGGGGGCACTGGTGCTAAATGTGTATATTTCAGGCCTACTAGGTTAAGCTGAGATGGTAAATTCAATTGGAAAAATATCAATGAATGTCAATTATGAACTGAATTTTTATAACCAAATTGATCATCTGAAAATTTAAATTTGATCAATTTCATCTGAAATGTAATGAAATGGTCACAATCTGAAGTCAAAGTCAGCTTCCTTCAGCAATTTCTAGTGAATCGTTTTAAAAATACGTTATATTAAAGAAATGATGGCAGTTGGTGTAATGTAGTGAGTAAAACTGCTGACCTCTACACAGCAGACTGGGGCTTGATTCCCTGTCAGGGCAAGCATAATACACTACACCAACAAGAGTCCTTGTGCAAGCCATCTATAACGTGATTCAACTGTAAGCTGCTTTGGGTAAGAGCATCTGCTGAATGTGAATGAATAATTTGACCTTTTTAAAACACACCTAGCACCAGAGAGACACATATTCCTCCAAAGCTCAAGCAGGGGGTTCAGGAGGGGAAGGATCAGAGGGTGTAAAGAAGTGAGGAAGAGGGTGGGAAAGGGGTGTGGGTGGGTCGTACCATCTGTGGGCTGTAGCAGGGGGGTTTGTGCGTCGCGGGGGGGGGCTGGCTGGGCAGGGGAGGGGTGGCGCTGGAGGGGTTGATGCGTTTCTCTTTCTGCCGGCGGTTGCAGAACCACACGCGGATCACCTCCTTCTCCATGTTGAGCTGCTCAGCCATCAGAAGGATCTCCTCTGAGGTAGGCTTCTGGTTCTGTATGGATTACCACACAAGTACCCCATAGAATGTTCAGTTTAACTATATATGATATGCAGATATGAATCTTGCTGGAAGGTCTGGTTGTAGAATAAATAATGTATAGTAGTTATAGCGTTGTCTTCAAACTATGGAAAAGTGTAGAAATATTATATATATATATATATATATATATATATATATATATATATATATATATATATATATATATATATATAGTATATACTGAGTTATATGAGCTTGCAGTTATCTTGGAAAATGTTGTGATTATTTAAAAAATCAAACCACTACAAGATTTTTTCAATATAGTTATGATTACTGTTAGCAGCCTCAAAATCATGCAGTATGTATTTTTCTCTGTTTGACAAAGACCCTGCAATGTTGTGTGGTGGCACTCTAACAAATTCTGAGTGTGTGTCTCACCGTCATAAAGTTGCGCTCCAGGGCCACTCGGACATTTGTTTCGATGCTGGTGCGTTTCTTCCTGCGTCTTCCAGGCAACCCCTCGAAGCCCAGCATTGGAGAAGACAAGGAGCTGGGACTGGGCAGCATGTTATCTATCGCCATGGTTTCTGTGCACACACACGCATGAGAATTTGTAATGTCAAAAGCCAATTTCTAAATAAGCATTCAAAATGCACTTATGCTACCTTACACATTTAGCCTGTGCAGCTTACACCCACTACCTCTCAAACCACACTCACCTGCATCACTCAACCATTTCTCCAGCAGTGGTTTAAGCTTGCACATGTTCTTGAAGCTGAGGTTGAGTGCCTCAAAACGAGAGATGGTGGTTTGACTAAAGTCATTGCCATACAGCTTCCCCATAGCCATCCCCACATCACCCTACAAGAGAAGTGTGAATAAAACACACAAACACAATTTGTCATCAGTGTAATTAGTGTCAATCAATGCCACAGTATGTTCAGTCCACTTGTTTAATGTACACACACACACTGCAAACTATAATACGCTGTTAATCAATTTGCTTTTAATTAGTTCACTAATTAGTTTAATTAGTTTAAACTAACACACAGATAGAGAAAAAACAGTACAAACATTCTTACACATGCTTGATTGTTGTATTTAAATTTACAAAAAAAGAAACAATTAGGGATCTGAGGTATATCTATTTAAAAGTAAACATCTAAAAGTAAATACCCGTTTGACCATGTTCCATTATATTGATTTCATTACCATGAGAATACCATGATAAACTCAGAAACAGCAAAATATAAATTGTCCTGCCTTCAAGACAATTCAAACATGAACAGCTTTAACAATTCTTATATGCCTAGCAAAAAGCACAATTACAATACATTTACATTACAATAAGCATTCTTTTCCCTTTTTTCCTAGTATCAATTTTTTTTGTTATAGCAAAATACCGTCATAGCGGGGATATTAAGCTTTTAATCTTGAGTTCATGCCACACAAGCAGCAAAAAACAAGAGCCTACTGCAAAATGCATAGTAGCGGTGCACTCACAACTTCTGGTCTCAAATGAGCTTTAGTTCAGTTTACTAAGCTGTTTTCATAGAGCTCATGTTTAATTTGTCTTGGGGGCAGGGCTGTTTGTTTTTGGTCTTATCGTGGTATGAACAAAACGGTAAAATCTAGTATACTGGCATACTTCCAATTAGATACAAAGGGCCATGACAACATTTTTTATTTTTTGGTCTAGACACAACCACACACACCTGTGTGAAGCCCAGTTTAATCCTCCTTTGTTTGAAGGTGCGAGCGAACTGCTCCAGCTCCTCCAGGTCATTGGGCTCTTCGGCGTGTGGGGTCACTGCAGCAACTGAGCTCATGGGCGAAGCTGCCGAGGGGGTTGAGCTTACGGCACTCTCAACGCTCTTCTCCCTCTGTAACGACCACAGCCTGTCGTCATGACGGCGCTACAGCACAAATGGGACACACAAACTGTGATCTTGAACACTTTTGTAGTTTGAGACCACAACCCCATCTGCAATAACACATTTCTCAATCTAATGGAATATTTTCCGAATTAAATATCATCCACCCTTCCGCCACACACTGAAGTAAAATGTTACTAGATGATAGCATTATGCAAATCTCCAAAATACAGCAGAAGGAAAAAACATTATTTACTTTTAATGTTGAATATTAAATGTGAAGTTAATGTAAAGAGTTAATTCCAAGCAATTTTGGAACATTTCTATTGGTCCATTCATCATGAAAGAAAAAAACGGAGATGCGTGTTTTTTTTTTTTTCTTCCATGCACTTTCTCTTACATGCTGTAAGTGATAGTTTAAAGCAAATTGAAACACTAATTACTTTAAATCTAATAACCCTTTTTTCAGTCCACTCGGGTCAGCAAGAAACAGACCTAAAGAAAGGAACATAATGGCTATTTCAGAGTGAAGCCTGAAGGTGTACTCTACCTGTGTCTGCATGCTCAGTCTGGGTGGGGTGGTCAGAAGGGCCCCTGGACTTTGCTGAGGTAGTGGAATCAGATTTGGTGTTGAAAGTAGACCTGAGTGAAAAGGAGAAAGATAGAATAAATATGCACAAAAATGAAATGAACATGCAGGATATTTGAATGGCAGTCATTAAAAATGAAACTTAAAAATGAAAAAAGTAAATTTGCATCGAGTCTTTATATGCATGTGTGTGACTCACCCTGCTGACTCTGTTGAGCCTGGGGTAAAAGGAACTGGGTGGGAGACTGCAGAGGGTGACCTGGCATCAGCACCAATTGCTGCAGCTGTAACAATTGTTGAATGTCCTACAGGGAAGTTAAATATTAATTTTAATTATTTTTCACTTGAATTTCAGTCTTTCTTCCATAATAGGCACAAACATGTCATGTCTATCATATCAAAACCTTCTACTGATATTTTTTTCTGTCATTTAAAATCAGTAGCCACCAATGACACTATGAATCTGTTGAATGAGATAACAGAAATGGGCTAATTGACTTAAGTTAAGAAAACATTTCTCTTCTCATTAAAAAGTTAAGATTTTCAAAAGATATATGAGGTTTTGTTACAAAATTGACAACATCTGTTTGAAACTAGCTGCATTGCATTGTTGATTGCTGCCCTGTAATTGGCTGGCATTTGGCATTGCAGCAGGGAAGACTGGAACCTGGGCATCCTTCCATTGCAAAATGCTGCCAATTGACTTCTTGGGGTTACCCTACCATGGATGCCTCCTAGGACTGCTGGGACCCAAACCTGAATCTAAGTTGTTAGATGCACCTCTGCAATGCTAAGCATGAGCTTCAAATGCTATTAACCATTACATACAAATAGCAATTAAAAGAACATTAATCACAGTATGAGCATGTCTTGTTCCTGCTGCGACATTTGAAATGACAAATCAAGATAAAGAAGCACATAGCACATTCTCTTATACAAAGAGGAACCATCCAATTTGAAACATCAGTCGTACCTGGGCAGTGAGCTGGATTGGCTGCGAGAGGGCAAGCGGGGGTGGGGCTTGAGTGGGACTTTGTTCAGGTTTGGTTTGCTGCTGGACCTGCACTGGGGCCTGGCTGACTTGCTGCTGCTGGGCCTGCTGCTGCTGATTGGCAGCAGCGGCAGCATGGGCAGCGTGGGCAGCATGTGCCGCGCTGGACTGCTGGACAGCAGCAGCCAGGAGCTGTGCCTGGGCTTGCTGGAGCAAAAGCTGTTGCTGTGCTGGGAGGAGAGCTGCCAGCTGAAAGTAGGAGCAAGGAATGGAGAAAAAGACCCAAAGGAGGGGAGAACAAAGGAGACAACAGTGTCACCGAAGCAGCAGCAGCTGAAGCAGCATGAGTGAGAAGGCTTCATAAATGTTAAAGTAGCCTGTGTGTGGAATTGCAGGGTTGTAGGATGGTAAGTTTAAAGGTGAGAGCAATAAAGGGTGAAAAAAATCTAGAAAATGAGAGGGAAAAAGAGGGAAGGAGTGTACAGCTCAGTTCACGTATGGTCTTAGCAAATTACTGTGTTATAAGTCATGTGTTATAAGATGCACTACGAAACTAATCAACTATTACCTTATTATCTGTCATTATCTATAATTAACTTACATGTTAAATACAGTGTGACCTGACACTAAATGGACAGCATCTCTTTTGGCTGTTTTTCTGCATATTGACAGTGGTAATGCAAGGACATTTATTAATTTATTCACATATCACGGAACAAAACCTCATATCTCCAAACAGGAACATGAAAAAACATCCTTAACTTTTAATGTAAGTTAATAGAGAAATTATTTATTATTTAATTACTAAATTATAGTAAGTTTGGAGCATTTCTATTGGTCCATTTATCATGAAATTCTGACACAATGTAAAAGACACAGTTTCACATTATGCAAAAAATGAAAAACGACTAAACTAAAGATACAAGGTTTTGTCCCGACAGCGACGATATATTCATAATATGGGAATCATATAGGGATCACAACCCTATATGATTGTCTACCATTTTCAGGAGCTCAGCTGTAAGACAATTAGCTTCTAAGTTGTTTCTTGTCCACCTCTCTGGGGTTGTAATCAGTTCATGCACAAGAGATGATGATTCTACATGTGGTGCTTGCATCTGGAGACTATCGCTGTGTCTTCTCAACATGAAGGTCAAAGAAGTGCAAATGGCAGTTAAGTAGGCCATTATGAGGCTGAAGGGATCTAAAACACTCACACACAGACACTAGCAAAACATTAGCTGTGTCAAAATCAACTGTTTGATGTATTGCTAAGAAGCAAGAACATACTGGTGGTCTTAGCATAAGCAAATAACCACTCTGACCATGGAAGACCCCAGTACTGGATGACACAAGAACTCTTTCAATCATGTAGAAAAATATGTATTCAACTGCTAAACAGATCCAAAACTCTCTCCAGGATGTGGGCAAATATGATACCAAAAATGAAAGAGTTCACCAGCATGACCTCAGAGAGTTTACCACAATATGCAACCAAGTACAAAACATCATAATTTTATTTTTTAAATTATTTTAGTATGATTATGTGTGATCCCCCCCAAATGAAACTATGAAGCCCAAAACGGGAGAACTTCTTGAAGCACAATGTCCTATATTACACTTATCATTTACAACAGTATCTTCTCTGTCATTTCTCTTCACAGAAAAACATTGTTTAGTATTGAGCTAATAAGAGGTGTTACAACACGCTTACACATGAATGTACAATGATATCAGAATCATTATCAATATCAGTACTGGCAGATTATTGCTTAAAAAATGATGTTTAGATTTGAGCAATATTTAAAACTGATATTTGATTATGTATTTATTGTAAAGCACAGAACGATTAGGTAAGGCTGGGCTTCCGTGCTAAATTCCCTCCATTTTACTCATTTTACTGCATTTCACTGTATATATTAAATATCAGATCTCAGCATCAGCCCACAATTCCCATATCGGTGCATCCCTACTACATACCCACAATGTTGCCATTTTGTGTGTGCGTTTGAGTGTTTTTGGGTGCATATGCATACCCCAGCAAGCTGACTACCAGCCAGCATGAGCTGTGTGTGTGGTAGGGTGGGCTGAGCAGGGGGAGGAGGTGGAGCATGAGAACTGGGCATCTCGGGTGGTTCTTCTGTTTTAACCTGTAACACAAACACACACATACAAGGTAATTAAAATGAGTCTTATTTGAAATGAAATATATTAATTCTACATACACTTCAAAAGAAAATCCATCTATGTTCTACTAGGTGCATTAGAATGTTGCCATTTGATTTTTTAAAAATGTGCAACAAATCTGCAAATTAATCTGGTGTGCACCATGGGTGGACTCTAAAATAGGAAGTTATATGGCAGAAACATTTTATGATACACATCACAATATTTTGACACAGACACAACATATTAGCAGTGCCGCATTTAAAAATAGCCAGCAAAAACTCTGGGTACAATGATTTTTATTTGACTCCTTAAAATGGCAGGTTTATTACATACTAAAGCTTATTATTCAGTAACTATAGGGACTTCAATGCAAATGGGTTGGGCTATTCTTAGGTTATAGAAGTGTGTAATAAAACTTTGGGCCTGCCAGTGGGCCCTGGCCGTTTAAGGGGTTAATGTTTGACAAAGCATAATACACTTTAAATTAAAAAGGACTAATTACGCTCATTTTGTAATGAAACGTGAATGTTCTGTGTTCTCCATGTTAAGTAGGGACGTTATCCGCAATGTGCTCAGAAAAGCGAACAAAATGTATCATGATAATAATAAAATTTCATCTTATCGCCCCCTTCTATGCTAAAATGTTACTGAAATATGACAACATGCATTGTCAAATTAACCAAAATTTACACATACACAGAATATTAGTAATTCTTTCTAATCTTTCAAATTCAGTCACTTAGTTGTCTACAGTACTGAGTTCACAGTTCGTAGTGACACATCACTCACAAATTCACTCATTCAATCACATACTCACGGATGTTTACAAAAAGGTAGCAGCAGGGCCTGTCCAAGCAGTTAATGCTATGCAAATAGGTGCTCCAGTGCCTGTAACTGTACATCCACCACCTTCAACCGTCTCACTCTCCTCTACGCTTTACCACTTCTTACTCTTTGCCTAACACTCACTTACTCACTCTCTCTCTCGCTCTCTCTCTCTATCTTGTCAGACATCTGGGCGGGGAACAGTCGTTATGAGACAGTCATTCAGTCTTATTTGCATATTACTGACTCTTTAAACAGAATCACCTGAGGGTTCCCACGCGTCAAAAGAAAAACATTCCCACACTGGCCAACGCACACGTTCCAAAACAAATTCACATACCTCCACGTGAACGCCCCCATCTACCTACCTACCAACCTACACCCCACACTGACACACTCACCTTTGTGTGGCTTGGGGTCGGAGAGAGGCAGAATGGACTCGTTTTCATCGGCTGGGTCTGAGTGGAAAGGAGGAAAAAAAGACCAACACACAGCAGGCGTTAGATTTCGCATGATACCACAGACGTAATCAGGCCTAAATACAACCACAAAAACCTTCCAACTGCATCTGCGGAACACTGGTGAAATGCTTGCAAAATCAAATATTTCTGATAGATAAGTGGCTATCGTAGACTGTCGGTAGAAATCCTCAGACCTTCTGCCCCAATTCATTGCATTCAATTTACAATTATGATTTAACTGAAAAAAGAACAAGAACAAATCAAAATATATGTTGTGAAATCACAATATACAATTAGGACAGAGTAAATTGTTTTAGTAAACAAAGAAATGTATATGCAATTCTTTTGCTATCTAATTAATATTAATCTTACCCATAAATCAGCATAATTATATGTAAATAAAATACAACAACCCAAATTTATTACATTGTTAAATACATTACTGATAACTTAGTCGTCTCATCTGCCCATGCATGCTTCTTTCGATAATGTCGCTTTATTGCTAAGACATGCCTTTTTATTCATTGACAATACAAAGTCATGATAAAATGAAAAATAAAGCATGTGGTATCTAGGAGAAATAAAAAATAACACACCTGATCGCTAGCCTCAGGACTGTTCCTCTCTGAGTCTGTAAGAGAGAATGCGCATAAACACACACACACACACACACACACACACAAGGTCAGAGTAGTGCCTCAGGCTTCGGCCCTCACATCAACAAAGAGTCAGCTGGTTAGCCAGAGGCATCACATTACTGGAATACCACAGAGCGTTTAACCTGTGTTTATGTGTGTGTGTGTGTTTGGGTGTGTGTGAGAGTGAGTGAATGCGTGTGTTGTGTGTGTATGTATGTACACATGTGTGTTGGCCTTTATTGTGGCAAAATCAGAGACTCTAGCTGACTAAAGTGTTCTGCGGATCTGATTCATGCTTAGTGGAAAATGTGAGAAATGTCACAAAACTGGATCCCATCAGAAATCCACAAACACACACACACACACACACACCTACAAGTACACTACATGAAGAAATTAATCACTGTGAGTAAACGTGCACAGTATGCCTTATTTCTCCCCCACACGTGCTCATGTAATAATGAATCACAGAATCTAACACAAATTCACTGCCATACACACGTTTTCAAAGAAGCAAACACACACACACACACACTATTTTTACCTGTGCTGTCTGCAGGAAAGTCAGCCCCAGTCTTCTCATCCTCAACTGCTTTAGACATCTTGATATCTACTGTGAAGAGAGTAAAAGCGAGACAGAAAATATCTATTGTGAAATCTTTGGCCGTGTCATTGTACTGTTGCAAGAAATGTCAGCGAGGCTCAATGTCCACTCATCAAGCACGACTGCGCTACATGGTACCAGCATCACGCTGAGACCCTGCATGAGGAAGGGACACACTAGCAAGGACAGTGGACAATATTTCTGTTCACACTTGGCTAGAAAAACAGTATGTAATCACTATTGTAACAAAGCCTAGTATTTCCAAAATAGTTGTGTACATTGTTAACTTTAATGCTGAATTAATGATTTTAATGTAAGAAATTCAACATGAAACGTTCACACAATTTAAAGACTGACTTTTTCTAAAAGTGTTAAAAAACAAAAACTGAAAAAAGTTACAAGGTTTTGACAGTGACAATATGCAAAATGGCTCGCTGGACTGCTCACATTAAAATAAAGGAAACGACTTCACACACACACACACAGCAGAACAAATCAGTGTCAAACAAACATGGAACACAAGGCAAATTCAACAAAAAGCACAAATGCTGTGCTGATGAAAAAGGGAAAAAACAAATTGTCTCTGTACTGTTAAGAGATAAAAAGAAAGGAAAAAGAAAGTTTTAAAAATTCTGTTACTATAAAAGGTAAAATGGTTTCCAAAAGGTAGCAGGAGAGAGGAGATTTGTTCCTAGATGCACTTTCTTCATAGCTGTGACAAATATATGAGATTTTAAAATAATCAAATTTAAAAAGAAATATAAAATTATTCTAATTTCTTAGAATTTGGGACACCCTCAGTGTCCTAAATGTTTCTTAACTGCCAGACACTGACCAACTGCTGTTCATTTGAGGTGACTTAGTGAATTAGCTCACCCTTGTATTTCAGTTTAGTTAGGGACTGATGTATAGAACTAGTAGACAGACAAAACGAGAAACTGGAGGAAAAAGAACTCAAATCTCAAAATTCACGAGTCGCCAAATAAATGTTAGCATGTGTTTTCAAATAAATATTCAGCTGCCATTAAATGCCACAAATCAACACTGTAATCAGTAAAAAGCTGGCACTGTTCAATTTACAGTAGGAAAAAGCACTAAGCACTGAATTTTGTTCCAAGATTTATGTGAGAGAGAGAGGGGGATACATAAGACCATAGGACTTAAACAAAAAATGACTGAGCTTTTATATTATATATATATATATATATATATATATATATATATATATATATATTTATATATATACACACACACACACACACACATTTTTTCCCTGTGGAACGGAAAGGTTTAATGCACAAACAATTACAGAAATTGTAATTTCCCTTGTTCACCATCCTTCTGAAGCACCTGTATTTCCTACACCTTTTCTGATGGAGAGACATGCCTTGTCCTGCATTTTACACACACACACACACACACACACACACACACACACACACACACACACACACACACACACACACACACACACACACACCTCAAGCTACTGGGAGAAAATGAGAAAAGGGGTCTCATCTAGCAGAGAAGTGCACCTTGTTTTCCACAGAGGGACTCCAAGCCTCTTTTGTTCCATCAAAGCCTGAAATCTGCACTTACCTCAAATAACCCCGAATCAACTAAAGAGCATTTTGCCATAAACAGGCTTAGATTACATTTCCCTATATTTCACAGATATGGACTAGCACTGGAGCACATCACCAAAATAACTTATGGATGTGTTACACCAATAAATTCTTTGATATATCTAAGCAAGAGAATCATATACAACAAATTTTCCATTACAGAGAAGAATATTGTAACCATGCAAAGAACCGTTTAGGCATTCAAATGTTTTTTTGAGTTGTCATGGCTCTGTATTTATCCGTTGCCTTTACTAAAGAGCTCCTGGAGAACAGTTTTACAAATACAGACACAAGGCCTACATGTTTTTTTAATGCTTAGGTTGGACAAATAGAAATTAACCTTCTTTTTGGGTGGACAAAAATGCACACCGTGAGGAACATAAAAAACAGCCTGATACTCCAAACGTAAAAAAGGCATTATAGTGTGAGTGGAGAAAGCAGCTGAAATGCCCTGAAAAAGACTCACGTTGCTGAATAAATCACAAAATCTTCGTTGTCACTAAATAAAGGGATAAATAAGTCTGAACACATAAGGTCAACACCGTAGGCCGTTTTTTCTCTCGTAAAATGTAATGTAGATGTAATGTCACCACATTCTGCCTACATCTCCTCCGCACATTTCTTCATCAGTGACATCCGTGTAATGAGGTGAGTTGTCTTTTCTCTTCACCTTGTGTGTGACTGTGAGACTCGGACTCCGTTACTGTGACTCTCCAGCATCCTCGCGCTTCGCTCTCCTTCTCCAAAACGGCGGGAATGCGCTAAAGCTAACGCTAACGCCTCTGCTCCTCTCAGCGGTTCATTGACTTCTTCTCGGTTGCTTTAGTCACACAGGCCGCCAAAGCTGAGCGGACAGATTCACTTTCCGACCGAGGTATTTGTTGTAGGCAGACTGAAACTCACAGCCTCCGCCACCCACGGACTTTGCGTTACTAATTTCGTCTGGCTTACTCACTGATATTAAAAAGCAAGCTCGCAAAATTCAACGAGGTTTTCCAACAGATATTGGCTTTATGTGTTTAAGCATTTCAAGACAGCAAAGACATACACGGATGCCCTGAAACTCCCGTCGATGCTGAATCGCCCCAAATTTCACAAAAACAGTAGAAACAGAGGTAAGTACGCCATGTGAGGATGAATAAAAATTATCTGAGCGTAAAATTATTTTGGTCGATGCAATTGAAGCAACCTGAGTAATGAACGTGCTGATTTGAGTCTTAAGGCTTCCTTTAAAACATAAAATATTTAAAATACCATTTGAAAAAAGAACACGTTTATGACAACAGGGACGTTTCAGGCAGTGTATCCAAACTCATCTGTCAGTGAAATATTATTTTCATCCAAGTACACGTTTATCTAAATTTGCAAAAATGCTAAGGCGGTTTTAATGACTAAATACATGCAGGCTAAATGACATACAAATCACATACGTATAATACTTATTTTATCTGGACACTCCTTAGACAGTCCCGCTCAGTGTATTATGAATTTTAGAGAATGGATTTCCTTTCTGTAGGTTAAAGATTAGAAACCGATGAGATAGTGGAAGGTAATACGACCGTATGGCGAAGACGAATGAGTGTCACTTTCTTACCCACAAATATCTCTGCAGTGACTCACTGTAACGTTACGTACAAACTTCCTGCTTCTTGTGGTCTTCCACACACCAGCACATGCATGTGGGTTTGTGTGTGTGTGTGCGTATGAGAGAGAACTGTTGATTCACCCAATAAGTTTTGTCAGCCATATTGCAGTTCAACAACTTGTTCATGCTTACTATAAGTTCTAAGACTCAAACATAAAATGCATAAATAGATTCTTAAATTGCAGGTTGACAGACTCATTGGGTGAACCATGCATGTGCTGGTATGTGGAAGAGAGACAGAGAGGTAAGTTAACAGAGAGGTAAGTCAACCAGACTGCAATTTAAGAACCTAAATTCTATGACTCACACACACAAAAAAGCATGAAAATATCTGGAAATTTCTAAATATAAACACTTAATTATACATGCATAAAATAGTCTCCTTACATAATCTTTAACTTGTGAATGTGTTTTTAAGTGAAAATGATTCTCACTACAGACAGTTTTAGGGAAGCATGACTAAGAGTTTAGTTATAAATTTAAGACTGGACCTAGACTTTATTTCAGGCGTCAAGGTCATGAAACAACTTAGCAGATCTCTGCATGTTTACCAACTAAATTTTACTGCTAACTAAATACAAATAAAATACTAAAATATTACTAAACAAATTAAGCAATATTAAAAAAAAAACTACTAGCAAACAAATTGTATAGAATAAATGCAAATCAACATAAACACAGTAAAAGGGTTATTTTTTGCTTTCAAAAAAGCAGTTGACGTAAACGAGTTAGAAGAACACAGGTTGGTACACCAGCCACAGCACGGATTTGTTTAAATCCAGCACCTGATTTAACTTAATGAAGGCTTGGTTAGCCAAACCATGTACTGCACGATAACTACACTGGTAGTATATATCAGTGAGTGTAAAATATGCCCAAAATAAGTAAACATACTGACATACATATATTCACTACTTACTGAATTAATATTATTTGTATTTATTCTAATATTTGCATTTTTTTGAGCAAACAAATGCATGATGCCCATTCAGATAATCAGCTTTTTACGTACAATTATTTTTCAGTGCCTATAATGTTTACACCGCATTGCTATATATTTCATAAAATAACCAAATGCACAATCTTCTGAAAAAGAGATCAGTATCACAGAAAAAATACACTTAAAAATGATTAAATAAGCAAACGTTTCTTCTTAAAAAGTAAATCTTAATGAGTGTAAGTACTGTGCATATAAAACAATATGGTTATATGGCAAATATATGTTAGCATGTCATAGCAGCGGAGGAAGGTGGCAGCAAGAGAGCATGTTCTCTTCCAAGAAATTCTCACATATGGAGTAAATGATGTCAACACACGTGTGCCTCTGAAAGCAGGTATGCACAAATGCACTGACCTCAGGCAAACATTAATTCATAGCAGTTACACCACTGTATGAAACCTAGAACACACATTTTGTGGACAGATAGATGGACACACACACACACACACACACACACACACACACACAGAGTAAAGTATGTGGTGTCCCACATTCCTCTGGAGAGTTGGCCTTGACATTTCATTACTATTGCTCTTACTCCAGCTGGTTTTGATGTTCTCTCATTAGCAGAGTACGTTACCAACGGCAAAGCTAATTAACCCCTAAACCCCACCTCAGGAGAGATCATTAGAGAGAAAGGGAGAGAGGAGAAGAGAGCGAGAGAGAGAGAGAGAGAGAGAGGGCAACACACTCACCTGGAATCCAGACATTTTGCCATGGCCGCCATTTTATAAAT